AAATGCATAGACTAAGACTAACTGGGAAGCAACTGCAAATATCTGTTCTACGCAGGTTCTTGCAAACAGAAGGTTTAAAAGATGATCGTGTTCAATGGTTCAGAATGTGACAGCCTAGACAGGGGAAACACACACACCCCCACACTGTAGAAACTCCAGGCAAGTACATGCCTGCTTTGCTTCTCCCTTTTCCTTACCCAGTATTCCACCAGAGCCTGTAGGGCGAGTGTTTCAGGTGGGTCTATAGGTCACTTACCACGGTGAGCCGGCTCATGAATAGTGCTGCTCAGCTCAAAGCACACTTGATCTTCATAATCTCTCATTCATTAGCAAGCCAGCAGTCATGCTTCTCAGAAGCCCAAGATTTTGGCAAGCATAATCCATGGTGCTAAATGCGTCTGTTATCTGCTCTAGCTGTGCAGGCTTTTGCCTTGCCTGTGCACTAAAACTGTACGCTATAGATGCCATTTGTTCAAAGCAGGCAGTTAAAAATGATAAACAGATTGCAACTTGTCATGGTAAATTAAGTGAAGCATCAAGATCTTTTATTATTAAAATAAGGAGAGCATTTTTAAGCAGTTGGTAAAGCTGAAAAAATGCCTCGTTTTCAGTGGTTTTTTGCAGAAAAAAGTATATTAAAATAAAGCCCAAAGGTCTTTTTTTCAATGGTTTGTTCTCAGCTTCTTGGAAACTGGGAATTCAGCCATGTTCTTACTTGTAGTGCCTACCTGTTTCACTGCCACTACTGAATTTTGAGCACAGGACATCATGTAAGAGAGCAGGCTGCCTTTGTCTGAGCACCTGCCATCCTCCTCTGCTCCCTTCTTTGCCAGACACCAAAAATTTTTAAAAAAATTTTTTTTTAAGAAAAAAAAAAAACAAAACAAAACCTTCAAAGGCCAAACCAATAAAACCCAGCTTCTTACTAAGCTTCTTATGTGACTGCCAGTTTAACACTGTAGCAGGTTGGTGATTAATGCTGAAGCAAGATAGTTGATTCCCTACAAGTTGACACAGAGCCTTACCCTCTTCCTCCTTCTCTTAAAAAAAAAACAAAAAAACCCAGAGAATATTTATGGGCACATTTTAGTATAAAACATTAAGAGCAGTAAAAAAAGAGTACGTTATATGACCATATCCAACATTTTCTGCAAAGATAATTAACAGCTCTAGGACAGCTAATTTACATGTTAATGAAAGTGTTAGCAGGAAAACCAATTAAAGGGGATTTATACAAGTCAAATAAAATCTGCCTTATTACTCTCCTTGAATAAGAGCAGTATCTGGCCTTTAGCATTATATCTTATGTCTATGTATGCGGCAAGCTGCCTGATAAAGTATGAATCCCTGCAGCTAGCTGGTTTATACTATCAGTGACAGCGTACACTGTTCAGTCGCAGCAAATCAAGGGAAAGGAACAGACAGCCCCACTGAAAAGGTTATGGCAAAGAGTGAGGAATCTCCTGTCTCAATATATTACCTTCCACACTGCTGCCCAACACCCCAGCCGAGTGTTTTTCAGAGGCAGGTGCTTGTGACCTGGAGTCTAGTAGTTTTAATGGTCAGGAGAAGCTAAGCAGGGCCAGACTTACTCCGCATTTGGGAAACCACTACAGAAAACTCAGACTGGAGGAGGTCGTGATTCTTTCCTTCTCATTCAGGATTAAGCCAGGCCCCAACGCAATGATGTGGGAAAAAAAAGGCCAAGTAACCTGAAAGTAACCTGAACCGTCGATACCTGACATCCACAACTAGGGAACACACAGCACGGCTCTGTTCTCAGCTCTGCTGCCCATTCTCACTGGGACATTATCACTGGAAATCAATGTTCTCAGTGACAGCTATCAGTTTTGAGGGCCATAGAATGGGTGGTAGGGAGTGGCTATCCCATGACAGTTTTCATGTTGTAAACCCAGTACTTACTTAGGAAATCTTAAAATTGTTGATGCTGGCTGTGAAGCCAGGTATGAACGACTTACCAGATGCAAGTATGTAAGTGTCTGTGTGCTTATTTAACGTGAGAAACTTTGGCAGGAGACTAACACCATGTGAACTTGCCCTGGACCCTGCAGTACAGGAACTTTAAGTTGCTACGGGCATCCTGGTTGTTCAGCTGCATTCGTGTTTGGGGTGGGGTAAGTGGTTCTCCTTGGTATAGCAACTGCCCGATTTAGCTTTTTTATGTGGGTGATCACTGAAACAAACAAAAAGAAAGAGAACCAAACCCAAAATATTGTTTAGAATTTCCACTCTGACAAAACGACATTTTTGCTTTTTCCTCTTGGTCCAGAATTGACATTTTCACCAGATGGATAATTTCTCCTTTCTCGCTAGCTGCTCTGCCTGGCACCATGGAGCACAAATCACAGTGAAAGCCAGTTTGCACTACTGTAATCACAGCAATTAAAAACCTGATGACTGTTGCTACTAGAAATACCAATACAGTTATACAAGACTGCTGAACAACAAGTGCGAGAGGATTGACAAACTCCTATTAGTGACACCAGGGAAGCGCAAAAGCGTAAGTTTTTAATGGGAAGCAGACAAATTCTACGCAACAGACCTTCTGGCCCTCAAACCAATGTCTGTATGTGGTTTAGGAGGCACTGTTGCAAAATCCAAAAGCACAACTGTTCAGTCTGGCAAAGCATAGATGACCGACTGCACCCCCCCAATACTGTGCCTCTTACTGAAGATGAAGAGTAAACATTATGCTCTTCCAGCATTAGACAATCACATAAAAGTAATGCAGGTCTTCGACAAAAGTGAACATGATCCAGAGCATTAATTTGGCAGATCATTCACCTTTAATACATTTTGTGACATATCTAGTACATACTAAAAAACACATTTCATTACTATATTCAAAAAAATCCAAACCCAAAACCCAGCAATACCCCCCCCTCAAAATATTAGTTTTAAAAGTTACACATATATACATACAGTTACAAAAAGGAGAAAGTTACCTCAGGAGTTCCAGTTACAGTAACAAAACATAGATGCATTTACTGAGATTAATGTGTAATGTCATTGATCACTGTAAACCAAAGAAGTCTATTAAAATCAGTACGAGATTTGTCACACTAAACAGGCAGTTATTAGAAGTCTTGTCTATTCACAACGAGTTCCACATACCCTCTACTTTGTGAATACAAAGTGTTCCAATATATTTACACTCTGAAGTTTAAACCACAGTGTAAAAAGGATAAGCCTCTTTAGAAGTTACGACAGTCCTGTTATATTTTCTACCTGAAATACTGCCACGCAGTGTTCTTACCTACATTTTGGTTAGGGGGGAAAATGCTCTTTGTGCCAGTGTAGTGCTGTACGTTCTCTGTGCTGCTCTTGTGAATTTTACTATGCAACTCCAGCAGGTCAAGGCTCAACCTCCAGAAGTGCACTTTCAGAGGTAGTGTCCTCCCGGGCTGGAGTGCTCTCAAGTGGGAACAGCGGAGGTGGCCTCAGGACCTGGCAGAACTGCAGTGGCCACTGGCACCTGCACCAAGCCTGTGCAGAACTGCAAGGTGCATCCCACCTCTTTGGTAGTTTTCACAGCCATAATTTTAAGGCCAGTAATATGAGATCCATCTCACATAAGTGACGCTAAGAGACATCTTAAACCTGTCACCAATACAGGCCTTATTTAACAAATGGTCAGCTAGGACAGCATAGCTGAGTTATAGCCTGTGTTTGTTTTCAGAGAGGGTTGAGGGTGTAAAGAAAGGAAGGAAAGAGACCACAATTAGACTAGGCTGCTTATAACTACATTGCAAACTGTCTAAGACTTTGAAAAAGTGACTGAGCGTTGCCATTTTTTTTTCTAAAAATACTTATTTCTCATCAGTACTATTAAGTTACCCTGAACATAAAATAAACATAAACTCAAATAAGACAACACTGCTGTTTTTCCTCTACATCTACACCAATAAATACAGTAGGGCCTCAAGAAACCAAAACATCTGGGATCTTCTGCATTTCCCATGGGGCCTTATGATCGCCTGAATTTTTTCCTGCTTTACTTTCTCTATCTGAGCTCCAAAATCTAAGCATTAGCTTTCTTGTCAGGGCCTACATTTGTCTTACTCCACTCGAGCATTTTCAATCCTCTTCTTTAAATCAGCTAAAGTAGAAGTTTCTAAATGAGTAACATGAGCCAGGGATTTGAATGTACCTTCTTCTCGGTATGTCCCAAGAGTAAAGCAAAAGAGCTAAGCCTCTGTTCTGTATCTTCTGTGTGAACAAGCACAGAACTGCTCTGAGTCTGACTAGATACACACTGTCCTAAATAAAGCAATCTCACAAGCTGTTAAGATTAAGAGAGAAATGTAAAAGAAGGTGAACATTTGTTTAGTTTTCACTTATACAAACAGATTAAAACTACAATTGTCTATGCAAGACAATGTACCAACCTATCTCTTTCTCACACAGAAAACAGATGCCGTATTTGCTGACAAATCTGGGTGGTCTATTAAATGAAAAGGCAAATTACAAAACCTCCTGTAATTGGGCCACTAGACCAAAATGCTACCTTCATTCACTTGGATAAATTTCTTCAGGCTCCAGTCAGACTACTTCACATGGACAGGAAACAAAAGCTTTGAGGCAGCCATATGCTTCTTCTCCCCGTTGACACAACAAATAAGCACCTCAGTTAACTGCTTCTGTAAGACTTTAGTCCCAGATGTATATTTACCTTAACGAAATCACCTACCTCCAGAGCAAGCTTTTTTTGAGGGGGGGCTAAAAGAAGATATCCTGGGCACTTTTCATAGTCTAGCTGTGTTGCTCCGAATGGATATCTTTAGACTAAGTGAAACTTCTCTTCCACTGAATCCCCATCACCCCCCAAGCCAAATTGCTGGAGAATTTACACCCATTTTGTTGACAGATCATGATCACTCCAAGCCAACACACATTTTCTTTTTGCCAAGTTCATAGGACTTCAGTTTGTATCTGTTGAATATATTTTAGAAATAAGTTGGAGAGGTGTCTATGTCAGCGATGCACTGAAAATTATTTTAGCAGCAGATACTATTGACATAGGATCTTTGTAGTTCTGCAGTTTCCCTAACAAATATTAGGAGAAGAACTTACTGTGATACACCAAATAGAAGAAATAAGCAGCCAAGGATGGCAAAAACTCAGTCTCCAAGTTCTTGGGCTAAAACATCCTGAATGAACTTCAATGTACGTTGGTACAGGAAAGCATCCTTCTTCTTTGGCTTACAAATATTTAGATGATTAACATCCACTGGAATAAGGTCTCCAATTCCCAACTCTGGTAGAGGGGAAAAAAAAAAGAGGAAAAAACTACCAAAGTTCATAAGATCACCTAGACTGAAAAGAGCATCTTGCATTAGTAATTTCTCCCTCAAAAGCAACTTTTGTCTTCAGTTTAACTATTTTGTCTTCATTATTTTTTAATGTGCTAAAAGCATCAATACACACTGTTATAGTCAGAGCTATACAGTGCTACAAAACCCACACTGGTGAACCGTTAGGTCAGAGTTCTACTATCTTTATTGGGAATACACAAATATACGTTTCTCCATACAGACAACTTTGAAGAATCAAAACTTCATTTACCAGCAACTGACTGACAGCAAAGTTCTGCCCAAAGTTTAAGCACTGACATGAACAAGGATAGGGGTACCCAGATTCTGATCACCATGAGCGGCCCATATGCCTTATAAAAGTACTTTGATGTGGAGATTAAAAATGGGACTAGAATGAACCTGAAATATGCCACAAATCACTACACGCATTTCTGGGGACATGAAAAATTTACATTGCTTAATTGCAGAACGCAAGTATTCAATTTTCAGCTACTGATTTTGGGGCACACTATGGCATTTGTTCTTTCCTGACAGCTATCACTACTAGTGAACTTTCCAGTTGGGATGCTGTGACTGCCACATTCCAGTTTATTGTCTATTCACTCAGCCTTCTGAGAAATCCTCCATTTTGCTTGGAACTCTGGATCTTTACCGACGTAAAATTACATTAGAGCAGGATGAAGGTTTGCTTTCATGTGCCCAAGTGTGCATGTAAGAAACAGTCAGTGTACTGCTTGTTAGCCTGGGTTTTGAACAAAGTGAGTGTCATGCCACCGAACTGTCATGTGCCCTCTAAAGGCTTTTGAGAACTCATGGGCTGCATTATGCATCATCTCTAGAAGAGGAGAAATATGCTACAAAATTATAAGTGCACAGTGCTTATTTGTGCACTGTTATCCAGCCTTCTTTTTCATTTTATTTCATTAAAAAAAATAAATGCCCAGTTTTTCAGTCCTCGCCCATAAAATTGCATCAGCAACGTTTTTGCAAACAATTGCTCCTTGAGAAAATATACTGAAAAAATATCGCTAAATACTGACTCCGGAAAACAGGGATGTATGGTCCACCTTTTTCAGAGTAAATAGCCTTGCATTTAAGCTAGTGGATTAGCTGGTGGAAAGCCTGATCTAAAACCCCACAAAGCAACGGTTTCTGTTCAAGGCTTTACAAGTTCCTTGGGCAGTGCAGAAGAGGGTTTTGCTCATGCAAGACCTGAAAATATCAGACTTAAAACAATTCTCTAAGTTGAATACCCATAAAGAAAGAAGAGGAAGAACTATCTGGTTTTCCCTGCTCCTACAAAAGGCAAAAAGATGGAGGGAACTTTTCAGGAGGTAAACTCTGTTGCTTGAGTGCCTGAGATAGGGAAGATGAAGGATTCTTAACACTGAAAAACAGTTTTGTGACTTTTTCCTTCCATTAGCAGTTTACTAATTTTCTTTCTTGGTTTTTAAGGGAGGAAATAGTTGGAATTTGTGGGAGCTTCTGAAACACTATTCAGCCTACCTGTACAAGGATAAACAACAGTTACTCCTAATTACAAAGGAAAGGACTACAACAATGTAACATTAGACCAGGGTCTACCCTGCTTTTTTCAATATGCAAGTGTTACTCACATTTAGAAAAATCAAAACAAACAACTCCTAAGATATAAACGTAGCTGCCTCTGATCTCAGCAGGGAGACTGTAGTTTAAATTCAGCCAAAGTTTAAAGAAAAAAACCCACAACACAACAGATATATTCTAGGTCTTTCCACCATAGCATTTATAATCCTTTATCGATGTGTACATGAATATATACGAAGTTAAATAAATTAAATGGCTATTTGACTTACTTGCTGATTCCAGAGGTACGACATGCAGTTTTATCATACTGCCTATGTGTGTTGGTAAGGTTTCTGCAAAACTCAGCACTGAAAATTTCTTATCTTTGGCAAAAGACAGGAAGTCATCATTCAGCTCTTTAAGGGCAGGAGAATCTGAGAAAGAACAACATAATTTTTGCAGTGTTATCTTGAACATAAGACTATAGCGTTTGTCAGGCAAGACTGCATTCCTAAAGAGATGCTTTGGAAAAATTAATACTCCAGTAAATGAAGTAGCATTTTGCTTGTAATCCCTTCTTCCAGCTATCATATGCAACAATTGTTTATTTCTGCATAGCATGGAATTTGTTTAGAAGATAAGAGTCAAAAGTCCAGCACATGTTGAGTTACTACATTGCTAAATGGCCCAAACTACTCTTCTATGAACTTGTTCTGACTCCTTTTTTCCCCTCGTCTCTGCAATCAAATGAAACAGTTACTCAAAACTACTTACAGTAATTTGTCACACAACCCAAAACATAAAAAGGGGGGGTTGTTGTTTTTATCCAGCTTTTTCTGACAGCATAATAAAAAATGCATCATGAGCAGATTAGCATAGATCCCCGTTGTTAAATGGTAGCAAAGTGAGCGTACCCTTGCTGAGTTCTTTAACCTCCACAGACGGAAAGAGAAGATATCTGGCATTTATAGAATATTCAGCCAGCTGGGAACCATGGTGAGGTACGCTATAAAATATGATTCCTCTGGTGTTGTTTACAATTTTATCCATTTCTGGATTCTTGGAAGCATCCACCAACATCTTTTTGACTAGAAGACCTGGCAACAGAAACTGAATTAATGCGGGGATTTAAACCACCGTGAAAATAATGATCATGCTATATTATCCATGAAACAACTAACTATATTCTTGCCTCAGTTGATTAGTCCTTAGTTTGTCAAATATCTAAGATTAAGTTGAAAAAAACCCAAACCAAATCTGAGGAGGCATTAAAATAAAATGTCAATGAATGATGCAAATCCAATTTTCATTTGCTTTAAGTGTTGCTAATGACATTTACTATCTGCCTAATCATGGAGAAAATTTTGCCTCTGGATTCCCATTTACATGAATTTCAATTCACTGATTTTTTTTGTTTTTAAATCAACACACTAAAAACAAACAGCAATAAAAATCCTTTAAAAATGTATATGCTATTGAATACACTGCATTAAGAAAGTAGAAATCTATTTTCCATTTTTAGGTTTTTGCAAATTTTTTAGATAAACTGTTCTGAATAATTGCATTTGAGACTGAATTTGGTTAACAGCTTATTCTGAAATATAACAGCAAATAAATATTTTCTATCAACCAGGCAATGTGCTTACCACCCATGCTATGTGATACCCACACCAAAGGTCTGTCTCCAATCCCAGCAGCTCTGAGCTTGTCAAGAAGCTCATTGCTCCTGTAAGCAATAGACTTCCTGCAAAGAAAAAAACAAACACAAGCGTGATGAAGCACGATAGGTTAAAAGGCAATGTTAAAACAGAATGAATTTTCAGTGCTGCGTGTTTATGAAAGTGAATTAGGTACATAACGTTAATTACTGAATTATTCTTGCTACAATGAAAAATGCCAAAAACTTTTGTAAGGTTGGCTTCACAAGGACAACAGGAATTGAGCTAAATTCAGTCTCTTGAGCTTGCTAGAAAGTTTTATTTTTATTTCACTCACCACTCATTTCTTTCAGCTTTAAAAACAAATCTTTTTGTGGAGTTTTAGATTCATTTACACATTGTAACAAAATTACATTTTCATTTTATGAAAGCATCATGAATGCATAATGAACTTTATCCCCAGAAACAAGAATATACCTAACATCTGACAAAAATGTACTTTGCTGAACAGCGCTCAAAATGTGGAGCAATGTACAAGAATTTAATAACTAAGTACATGATCAATCATTACATTAAAAAAAAATCATCTCAGATAATGTCTGTTATACTTTCCAGACAATATTACCCAAGTGCTTTGTACTGGAATAGTATAGAAGCACAATAATCTCCACTTTATAAACGAAGAGACTGAGCTCTGGAAAGGACAGGCTATATGTTAGAGGTTGAAAATGAATTTGTGGTGGAACCAACAAAACCAATCCAAGCTTCAAAATGCAACATTGTTACTCCTTGCAGTGTAACAAGAATCAAACATAGAAGACCCTCCGATAATGAAAACATCAGGATATTGGGCAACCGCTGTGCAAAATAATTCACTTCGTCTCTATTGGTTCTCAGCATTCTCACTAGATATTGGTTTTATAACACATACGAAAAGGATACTCAAATGTTATCTTTTCAGCTGAACAATAGACTTTAGGATAGCTGGGAGACATAAAAATTCATTTTTGAAACAGCAAATGAGCCTATACACTTGAAGCAGTCATAAGGTTGTGATTCTACTGCTACATCTCTGTTCCTGCGAGTTAAAAATATCTTCAAGATCTTTCATTTTTTGTTAACCATATCACATTATAAAATAATCAAATACTGCGCTGGAGTGACCATTAATAGCAGGTAATGGAATTTTCCATTCTGTAATGAAAAAGATATTATCTTAAAAATAAATAAATAAATATATTTTAATTTATTTTTTAATTTTTCTTCCATTATACTAACTCTAGATGGACACAGATAAAAGGTTCTTTTAGAATCATAGAATCATTTAAGTTGGAAAAGATCCTTAAGATCATTGAGTCCAACCATTAACCTAATACTGCCAAGTCCACCACTAAACCATGTCCCTAAGCACCGCATCTGCCTGTCTTCTAAACACCTCTGGGGATGGTGACTCCACCACTTCCCTGGGCAGCCTGTTCCAATGCTTGATAAACCTTTAGGTGAAGAAATTTTTCCTAATATCCAATCTAAACCTCCCCTGGCACAACTTGATGCTGTTTCCTCTCGTCCTGTCATCTGTTACTTGAGAGAACAGACCCACCCCACCTCTCTACATTCTCCTTTCAGGCAGTTGTAGAGAGCAATAAGGTCTCCCCTCAGCCCCCTTTTCTCCAGGCTGAACAACCCCAATTCCCTCAGCCCCTCCTCATAAGACTTGTGCTCCGGACCCCTCACCAGCTTCGCTGCTTTTCTTTGGATGAGAAACGAGGTACACAGTCCCTCTACAAGGTCCAGTCTTCTCTGAACCTTCTAGAGGTAACCACCTACATGGTTTTTTACTGTCATTGTTCTGCATAATTTCAAACATACTAACAGCCATGTCTTCCTTATTTTTTCCCTGCTTACATGCTTTCTTTAATGCAATAATTACATTGATCCTTCGTATATCCATAGGGAGGAGGCAATGAACATGCACCAAGTTTCCAGTCTATTATACACGTGCTGATTTTTTTTCTCCCCCACACAAAACATAATCAATTTTCAGATCCTTAACCTGTGAGCAGTCATGCACATGCCTTCCCTGAATATACAAGTCAAATCTACAGTACTAGTTCCATGTTTAAGTATCTGCATAAGTGTTCAAAGGACTCAGATTAGGATCCGATTTAAAGATCACTGAACTCAATTACTAAGCCTAAAATCCATTCACGCCAAATAACATTTCCAGGCCTAACATATTTTTATTTTTTTGAAGGAATATGTTTGGAGGTAGCATCTTCCTCTGACCTACCTGGTTCATCGTCAGTAAAAACACAATTCCTCTGACAAGGTGAATTATACTATCTGACCAAACTAGATACACTTGCAGTATTTTATCTGTCAATGAATTACACGAATCTCTTTCCAGGGATGAACAGTTCTTGAATAAAAGTATCTTGGTATCAGAAATAGTGTGGCCAGGACTAGGGAAGTGATTGTCCCCCTATACTAGGCACTGGTGAGGCTGCACCTTGAATACTGTGTCCAGCTTTGGGCCCCTCACTATGTGAAAGACATTGAGATACTGGTGGGTGTCCAAAGAAGAACAACAAAGCTGGTGAAGGGTCTAGAGAACAAGTCTCATGAGGAGTAGCTGAGGGAACTGGGGTTGTTCAGCCTGGAGAAAAGGAGGCTGAGGAGAGACCTTATCACTCTCTACAGCTACCTGAAATGAAGTTGTTGCGAGGTGGGGGTCAGTCTGTTCTCCCAAGTAACAAGTGACAGGACGAGAGGAAACAGCATCAAGTTGTGCCAGGGGAGGTTTAGATTAGACATTAGGAAAAATTTCTTCACCCAAAAGGTTGTCAAGCATTGGAACAGGCTGCCCAGGGAAGTGGTGGAGTCACCATCCCCAGAGGTGTTTAGAAGACAGGCAGATGCGGTGCTTAGGGACATGGTTTAGTGGTGGACTTGGCAGTATTAGGTTAATGGTTGGACTCAATGATCTTAAAGGTCTGTTCCAACCTAAACAATTCTATGACTTTGAAAATTATATGTTTCATTTTATCATGAGTATAAAGTCATAGTACAGTGATTTTTTTGCTGTGCTTATGGAGCAGTATTTGGTCATTTTAAGTTTAAGAAATACTTCCCTTAAGATATAAAATTGATGCTATATTTACACCAACTAATAGCATAATTTAGTGTCTCCCCTAAACACAAAGCAGAATAGACTGTAAGAATTTAGGAAGTTTCCACAAGTAATTATCCATGAAGCTAAAAAGCTCAAGCATACCATGACTGTCCTTAATGTTTTTCCAAAAGCAACAGGAAAAGTTAAATTCACTGTCTCACACTAGGTGATCCCAAGCATCAGCTTTCCATGTCTCCCTCCTGCCCCTCCTCCGAACCGCAGACACTACATTTGTTACCTGTGAGCCTCAACAGGACATTTGGCTTTCCAATCACTCAAATGGGTGTCGTATTCCACAGATATGATTCTAAGGGCAGGACAGTCTGAAGCAAGCCATGTCTAAATTAAAGAAAGGTGAAACCAAAAGGAGCTTATAATTGAAGTGCTTAAACTCTTGCAAGCAAGTTACCAGCAATGAAGCAAAAATGTTACTATGGGGACAATATCAGGCAAGATTTTTGCTCTTCAGTTAATCCCCAAATACATCTTACACCTAGACTATTTTTCTTTTATTACATGCTGGTGAACTCAGCCTGTTCCTCAGCCACAAAGTAGGCAAAGGATGGAGATGGATTACTAACTCGTGCGTTCCTGGCTCCCTCTCCTGGGTGCAACAAGAATTACTAAGATTACCAACAGGATGGATCAGCTTAAGTTTTACAGAGATAGTTCGGTGGTTATAGCAACGTGTCCTCTGGACAGCTCTCACTAATGAGAAAACAACAGCCACATGTGGAAATGTTATTGTCTTTTTACCTTTGGCCAGCACTGGCTATAGTCCTCTTCCCCTTCTGAAGCTTTTTTATCCAAATGCCGGTCAATGTCTTGCTGTCGCCAGGTTTTAAATGCTGCTCCCAAAAGACCGTGAACAAAGAGGATGTCTGCTCTGATGGGCTGACTGATACAGAAAAAGGAATTTTTAAGAGATGCATGGTACATATTCTTTTAGCAAATTAAATTTACAAAGAACTTTTAACCTAAGGGATGCCAAAATGCTATTGTTCCCACCATGTGATTTCTTATCTTATGGACAGCATTTAATGAAATTTCATGATATTTCAAAGAGGATAGTCAGATCAAGATAAAAGCCAGGGATCCACCCAGAAGAGACAGATTTAAAAGAGGTATGAAAAGTACCCACCTCACAAATTACATTTTTACATAATGAAAAACACCATTCTCTCCAGCTACTGCTAATGAAGCTTGCTAGTTCCAGCTTTATCACCAAATTAGATCTTCACTGTAACCTGACTAACACCAGTGACACAGGGAATAGTTGCTACTAAGTGACATACCACATTGGAGACTGCTTCAGTCCCAGATACACAATCACAATTAAAAGATGCTGAAGCTATAAATTTACTGCATCTTAGGCCAACATGTGCTGCTGCCAACAGAATAATTACAAGGCACTGTACCCCAAGACAGCCAACACAAAGGTTAAATGGTTGCAATGCATGCAAAGCAATAATTCATCTCATGGTTTGTGGTTGGATTTTTCCATGCAGTACAATAATACTCTTTTCATGGCTATGGACTGCTCCCAGCACTTCTGTTGTTCTCCTATTTGAGAATTTAAATTCAGTCCTCTCAACCCACCGAAGAACAGGAGGAGCAGGTGACATGACTACAGCAGCACTCTGATGTCAACCCTTCCAAAGTTTCGTACCTGAACAGCATAACAAGTAACTCAAAGTACAGCACGTACAATACCTCCTTCTGCTTTACCTGCTACGATATTGTGGATGTAAGACATAAACACCGTCTGGATACTTTTCTTCCACTGTGTCCCTGTCTAGATTAGCCAAAGCTCTGGATGCATGAGAAGACTGAATGACATGTGGGGATTTCATTACTTCAGCAAGTACAGAAACCCAACCTACATTGAAAAAATAAAGTGGCAGGTTAACTAATTAGAAACATCATCCAAACAAAGGAATTCAGAAACGTCATCCTTCAAAGTATACTTGTGAAAATAGATGTTAAAACTTAAGAATGGCAACATCAAAACAAACTATTTCAATTCACTCTCCTTACCGCATGAAAGCCAATGCTAGATAAGTAGAACCTCCAAAATGCAAAAATCCAGAGCAGTGAGGAGGCAATGTATTTTACTGCTCTTCAGCTTATCATCTGAAGGAGAACCCCTTCTCAGAAGAAAAAGAAAGTGTATCAGCAGGTCAGTGCAGTTGTCAAAGAGGGAACAGATCTTGAGCCTCTTTTTGCAGGTAAGATGCAAGAAAGACAGAGAAAAGAAACGTCCCAGAGAGAAAATGAAGCTTAAAGCATAAATAAGACAAAGAAAACAACCCACAGGAATAATGGCAGGTGGAAAAATTGATGCTTGCTGTGAGAGTACAACCATTTCTAATTTTGAAATCCAGTGTGTGAAAAAATGTTTAAGGAATTAAAACGTCCTCACTATTCTAAAAATAGTATACTGTATATACCTAAGAAACATAAGAAAATTAATGAAGGAAACCTTTGAATGCATTCCTCAATAAAATTTTAAGTTACAGCTAGCTCAAGAAAAAAAACAGACACTTTATAATACTTTACCTAGGATGTAAAATATAGTTTCTTATACATGGGTGGGGATGTTCATAGACTACTGAGAAATGCAAAGAACTGTCTTTTATACACACACAGATACATGTATTTCTTTAAAATCCTGATAACTCTTGTTGCTGTTAGCAAAAGTGGTCTATAAATCACAATTACATTAAAGTCAAGTTCATAAATAAAACCTGGGAACACTCTAAAGAGAGATTTTCAAATGGAGGCTGATTTGAAAAAGAAGTAACAATTTACTTTGTGAGCACTGTTTCAGAATCATGTACAGTATGTGGCTATTAGTATAGCCAGTAAGTTGCTAATTCAAAATAGTTAGCTCATTGGATTGAGGAAAAGAATGAATTGACATATGAGTTTTGTTTAAATGCAAGTACCTTTGGGAACTGTAATTTTTTTTTAAGAATTGTGCATTTAAATTACATTCTTAAGCAGAATATATGTTGATCACCATGCAATTTCTCCTTAAGAACAGCATTATCTAAAAATCTATTTTCAGTTCTCCAAATACAATGAAAGACTGCCAAGCTGGTCTGATTAAAACCAGCAAGGTCTCTGGTTTTGCATTTCTCTTAAAATGAGCCAAGATGGAGAGTCAAAAATAGTGTTCAGAATCCTTCTGTCCCCAGATACACCATCACAGCTACTACACTGTGCATCATTGCTTTTCTTCCTCTTTCTGTGCCAGCAGTTTTTGCAAAGGAAAAGAGGTTCTTTCTTCTTTTGCATCATCCCACAACAGAAGAGAAGTCTTATCAACTCTTGACCAGCAGTATCCAACTGCTCATCTCTGCAGTCTGGTTCACTGACTAAAATTCCGTTTGTACTCAGAGCTCTGCCCCAGGGAGCTGCTGACTCTTCAACTACAGTCTCTTCCTCTATACATATGGTTTTAGCAGTCATCGCAAGAATGTAAGAAAGGTGCTAGAGCTCAGACCAAAGGTTTTTGTAGTCCAGCTGTCTTTCTCCAAAAGTGAGCAGTAATGGAAGTTGCAGAACAAAATTAAAATTAAAAGAATAGAGCAATAAAAGGGTAAGTATATAGTGCTGATTCTCCACTATACCCTCCCATTTTTCAGCAAGCAACTTGGCTTCTGCGTGTAGAGATTTATGGATTTTTCTTTCCATGAATTTGTCTAATCACTTTTTGAAGCTTTGTAAGTCTTCAATAATCACAACGTTTTGTGGCAAGTTTTAGTTTGGTCATGCACTGTATGGAAAAAAAAATATACTTATTTGTTTCACCTCTTGATAATTGATGTACGAGAACCTTTGATCTTGCATCATAAGAAACAGCAGATGACCATTCCCTTTTTGCTGTCTCTATGCCAGTAAGGATTTTATAAATCTCCATCGTATTCTCCTTCAGTCGCTGCTTCTGTCTTAGTCTAGTTATTTGTTCTTTATATCACAGTCATTCCAAATTTTTAATCACCCTCACGGTCTTTCCCTGTGCCTTTGCTACTTCTCCTTTTTGCAAAAGGGAAATAAAAAACACACACTGCATTTAAGAGGCAGACACCAGCTTGGACGTATACAACAGCGTACTGGTATTTTCTATTTTTCTTTTTATTTCTTTCCTAATAAAATGTTGGGAATTATTTATTTGGTACAGAACTTTCATTGTGATATTTAAGGGTATTAAAAAAGGGGCATCAGAGCAAAGCTTAGCAGAAGTTACCAGCCTAGCATGAAACAAGGGAGGGCGGGAAGGCATGTTTCACTTTGTTCCAAAAGGTAAGGACTGCAAGCTGGTCTGTTCCTTTGTGAGACTAAAACACAGCCAATTAAAAAAAAATTAATCTACAAGGTAGATGATCTGTAAAAGTAGGAAACTCAAAAGATTTTTGCCAGAAATGTGAACCAAACATCAACCAAGTCTAAATTTTCACCATCCATCAGAATCAGAACACCTCTGTAGCACTGACATATATTGGCTAGACAGTATACAGGAAGTTTTAATCAAGACCATCTAAACTGTCTATATTTGTTGTATTAAACCCAATGACAACACCTCCCCATCCTCCCAGGTATAAAATCCACTACACTACCATGGTACTTTGCATTTTACAAAAGCACCGAATCCTCTGAAAATTTTAGAACAGGAATCTGACATTCAGACTGCTTGCACTTGCTTTCCTTTTACCTGCACGTACTATGGATGAATGAAGACGTTCATCCAAAGCCATATTTCCAATAATGCGAATTATGTTCCTTTGTATTTTTGCTGAATCTTTACGTAGCTGGTATATCCTCTGTAGTAGCTGAAGGCCTCCTTTAGCTTCAATTTTATCACAGTGAGAAGAAACCTAGCATTATACAGCAAATACAAGGACAGTAAGTAGACATTCCGCAAAAGGTTCCTTGAGATGCTATTAATTGACAAATTAGGGAATTTTAAGGTGCCGATATGATGCAGAGCCCTTATTACACAGAAATTCTTATTAATGTAGAATTTATTATGCCACAGTCGAAGAGGAAGTAAATATTTTAATATGCTAAATGCATGATTTCTAATGGATTGACAACCTGAAAGATGCCGAGTACCATTACTCTACTGTCCTCCATATCTGAGGAAGATGAGATCGCTCTCCACTTGGCATGATCAAATTTCAGCTAAAGTTCAAGAGTCTGAACAGGACAATTGTCTGCATTTGTTAAAGCACTATCTCAACCAGAGCTACTGGTCTTCCTCTTCACCATCTAAAATGCAATCAGTATAACCCCTTCTCTTTGAAATGCAAAGGTATTTCTACATTCCAAATAGTACTGCTATCATTATTGATCTTAAGGGCAACAACAGATTCTAGTCCAAGCAGATGAACATGCACGAATGATTTGTAGTGTCAACAACTGATATTGGCCAAATGCTTATGACTTGAACATGTTGTCTACAGTGCTTAAAAATGTGTGGTAGTTATAGAACTGCAATGTCCTAAAGTCTGTGGCTTTCAACAAAGACAAACACACGTTCAGAATAAGTACAGTCACAACTTGTTTAAACTGAAAATCTGGAATATAAAAAATTCTAGACTAAGTCAGAATTTCTCTGTATGTGGAAGATGTGAAAGGAATACTGGCAAAGCGCACTTTTTCCATCCCTACTACCAATAACAATTTGGTATTCTCAATGCTGTTTCTCAATGTTCTAGGCTTCTGAGCAATTAAGTGCACACAGAAGAGTGCAGCAACAGGAAACAAGACAAATCACTGTTACACAAAGTCTTCCATACTCTTCATCTGTGTCTGCAAAGAACAGACTGGTCTGGGGAAGATGCACTGTGTTAGCTGCATGCTGTGCAATATTCTGCCCAAAGGCAGCAGTTCTTGAAGGAAGGGCCTTTGTGAATGGACAAGGTTTGCATTCCATTCTGGCTCTGATTAGAGCGAATTCATGAGGCTACTTTGCTTTCTGGAAACCTGCACTAGAGTTAGATTAAGAGCCATAAGAACAGAACGCTTGTAAGCTTTCTGAACTGATGTACACCAACTCACACAAATTCACGCATACTTTGCACTAAGAATTTCTCATCATCAGCATCCTGCTTACTGAGAAGCTGCAGAGTGGAAATACTAAGTGTTCCCTCATGATATCTACCTCCAATGACTTTGAGTGTCAGTCCTTTGGACTTCAAGCATTCTCTCCTGCTTTGCTGTGTCAGAGCTGCCCTTTTACTTCTTGAAAGATACATACAGGTATACTACAGGGAAACTTGTAAGAGTTAATTAGAAACAATAACAGAACTTACATATGCTTCCCATGAGAAAAAATTATGCTGCCTTCCAATTCACATCAGTCTCAGTTGTCCAAACATCCTTACAGAAAGGGTCGGGGTAGGGGACAAGGAAATGGCAACTCCTTCCCGATATATGAGAAAGCATTAGGAAGGAATGTTTATAAGTGTAGCTTTTCAGTTATAGTTTAAAGGACAAATTACCTTAGAATGCTGTACTAAAGCTTGCAAGCAAAAGAGTTCCACTGTCTCTGAAGGGATTTTACTCAACGTCTCACAATATGGAAGTCCATTTCCTCCAAAACACCATAAGCCTCCCTGAAATGAGAATCAGTAAAAATTATACCACATTCCAAATGGCTATATAAAATAAGCATTTCTAAACTAAAACACTGAGTGTGTAATGATCTATAGAAATTGCTGTAAAGAGTGCACAGCATGCATGCACTTTTCAAAATGTACAAATTACACAACAGTACACTATAAAACTATCTACTATTTTTAACTGAAAATATTAACTAGATTTTTCAGTCGGTAATCTCCACAGTCTATTAACTTCAAAACATACAATAAAGGGGGAAAATGTAGGATTTTCATTTTGTTACTGAATGTCTTCTTTTAAAATACTTTGCTTAAGCATAAAAAAGCAAGAATCGGACTGCATCTAGATTTCCATAGATGCAAAAATGAGAAGAGGAGGAAAGAAGGTCTTCAATACATAGCATAGTGTCTGAAGACCAGTCCCTCTCAACCATGCAGTAAGAAGACCAGTATAACTTCAATAAAAAACAGTTTTCTAGAACAGCATGATTATCAAATGCCTCCAACTGTGGTGTCTTACCAAAGCTCCCTTTGTAGCAAGAGCTCTGGCTGTGAAAACAATAAAGGAGTCATAGTGTAAAAATATTACACATAACTGTGTCCTAGGAAATAAACAGTTACTGCACTCTGAAATATCTAAACAAAGCCTGACAGGCATCATTATTAACGTGACAGTCACTTTTATTATTACATCTTACAAAATAATCACTGATTTAAAGAGTCACAACGTTTTAATAAAAAAATAAAATGCACAAGTGATAACGGATGACACCGGCATTACAATTATTATTTTTAAGCAATAGCAGTACTTTAAATGATGTTTCTAAAGCCACCCAGGAAGTTGTCGGACAGATAAGAGTTGAAGAATTCCTAGTTTCCAAGTCTAAACAGACTACTAGACTATTCCAGTTCTGGTTTTGGCAATAGTGACCTGTTACAGGGAGGCATTTCCATGTGATATAAGAGAGTTTACTGTTTAAGGTGTGATAACAACTCATCAGTTTGTTAGTAAGACTTAACAGAGCTTTAATCATCTCAGCAGTAAAAGAACACTCAAACAATGGTAAGATGAAATGTGAAAAATAATTTTAAGAGCACTACAAAGGGTAGGAAATGTTCTGAACAAAATGTTGAAATATCTGCTTTATGGGAATGCTTGTAAGTAAAGATATAATCTTTCAATAGACCAACTAGTACAGCTGGGAAAGATAAACAAGCTTTCAAGCAGACAGACTGTACATCGAAGAGATTTTACGTATGTTTTACAGTCACCAAGTCTCTGTAATTCTCTTCCTATTACAATGCTTAAAAACATGGAAATAGGTTTTTATCTTTGAGCTCTGCAGGAACAAAGAACCCAAATAGTTCTGTTCTGCAGGTGGGAACTCACCCTTTGCGCAGCGAGAGTCTGACTACTTTCACGCAAAGCAAGAGATGTGAAGTACTGGACACATGGATCAAGACCAGTCTGAGGTAAAGATACTAACAACAAGCGAAGTTCATCTTCTATGGGATAATCCTGTGAGAAGTAAGCACAAATAGCTTGTGTTCAAGGCATGAAGCAAAACACAGAGTAAAGAAAGATCCAAAATAATGGAATCGGCCATATTAATAAGGCCATAAAATATGAACCCTGGACTTGAGTGCTTTGCAACTTCGGTTTAATAGTTACACCTGTAAAGACTTTGGAAACTGATAATTCTAAAACCACCGAGTGATGAAAAGCAAGCTTTAAAATTCATACTTTGGTGGCCTTATTCTAATAGGTCTGAAGGGCAGAAGAAAAAAACAGTTCCTCTTGGCACAGGAAGCTTAAAAGCTCACCCTTAACTACACAGCAATTTTGGTTCTGCTCCGTTACAATGAATGTATAAATCACTAGTAAAAAATGCAGACAACGTTTCTTTTAATCTTCAAAATATTCACATAGATGTTCATTTAATAATGCAGGGTAGATGACAGGAAAATAGATTCAACAAAGTCATTTTATTTGCCCACAGTCATGAAACTTGCAGTTATTCTAATCCTTGCTATAATCAGAACTGGAGACATATCTGATGTGCAGAGCAACACTTGCTGCCACAATGATTTGCTTTAACTTCCTAAGCAGCAGACTGGGAACTCTTAGCTTCAGTCACTGACCAATCATACTGCTGTAAAAATAAAGTATATACACACCCATATACTAGTATAAGCCAGTACTTCAAGACTGACAGGTACAGATCCACCATCACGTAATGTTACAAAGATAAGAAAGCAAAAACTAGAATATCACTAACAATCAAAGCTGTTTTCTCAGGTTTTTGTTGGTTAAGATATACAGGTATTCTCTGACAGGGACTTCTGCCAGCATTCATTTTATCAGCATTACAAAAGACCTCTTATGCTTTATGTGCCAATTCTGTTACTTGAAGAAGCTGATATGATCACATGACTGCTCAAACCACCATATATACACACATACAGGTTTCTTAATTAACATAAAAGCAAGCCGAGACCAAATCTATCCAACACGGATTTGGTGGTACTCAAAAGCTGGCAATAAAGAGGTGGGCCTACAGCAGAGCACCACACCAGCAGTGAGGATGCAAAGGCCTCCAGGAGTGCTCTCTACCTGTAGGATTCTGACAGTATCAACTAGACAATCTAGGATGACTTAATATAAGACTGCTTCACATTGCCTACTACATATGGACAGGCAGTGTGTGTATCAGACTGTAACTGGCTCAAACGTCACTGCTGGTAAATACGTAATGTAGATAGGCAGTCTGAGAACAATAATTGATCAACACTCCTATCATCATGTCATTCACTAATGCAGAGGTACCATAGGGGTGTACCACTATATTACAGTTTTGTATTTTGGTCCTAATTTTACTATGCGTTAGTTACTTTAGAAGAACTCCACTTTAGTATCGTTACCAACAACAAAAGCATTACAAACAAACAAGCAAGCAAAAATAATCTAATACCTACTTTTCATTTACTTACATTCTTTATTTTTGGCATTGGTGGTGGAGGCAGGAAGAAGCGAAGGTCGATATCTTTGGATCGAGCCAGACCTATAGCAGTCCTTTGATCACAGGTTTGGGCAACTGTACCATACTGATAATCTGTAGCATGAGAACTTCAGTGTTAGGGTTAAAACGAACTTTAATTATTTCATTTGTTTTAAAATGTAGTTTCTGATCTACTTTGCAAATATACTTGAAAAAAACCCCTCCGCCATCTACTTAAATAAGCTCTGATTTTGGAACCACAAGTTCCAAAAGATAAAAACTGAAGATGTTAGACCAGCACTATACTGAACTGAAATACACCTGGGCACTAAATCTTCATTATAGACCAGTTTGACAAAGGTTCTAAGATATAAGTTGAACACAAGCAAAAGCAAATGTTCAGTATCGCCACTGTGAAATGAATACAAAGACTACAAACACAAGCTTAATCCCCTGAGCTTGAGTTATAATTTGGAAGGCATCTTGCATACAAGTATCTAAAGGGTGGGTTGAAGGAGGATGGAGCCAGACTCTTTTCACTGGTTCCCACTGACAGGACGAGGGGCAATGGGCACAAGTTGGATCATAGGAAGTTCCGTTCCAATACACGGAAAAATTTCTTTACGGTGAGGGTGACAGAGCACTGGCACAGGCTGCCCAGGGAGGTTGTGGAGTCTCCTTCTCTGGAGATTTTCAAGACCCGCCTGGATGCAGTCCTGAGTAATGTGCTCTGGGCAGTCCTGCTCTAGCAGGGGAGTTGGACTAGATGATCTCTAGAGGTCCCTTCCAACTCTGAAGATTCTGTGATTCTGTGATACTTTTTTCTGCATACAGTATTAAAAAGCAGAGACTTAAATTCAAATACTGCAAAGACACAGAAACCTAATTTTAAATGATACAAAAGGCATGTTTCAATAAAATTGTTAATGTCACAAAATCAGGTAACCTTAGAAAAGGCAGGATAGCACCACAATACAATTTTAAATAGCCCTTCCTTACTGAAGATAGAAGACAGACTTTCAGTTACCTTACAGAAGGGAAACTGGATTTAAACAGTAAATACTGTTCCTTTCCAAAACCTACCTACTTTATAGCTGGAGAAATTGAAAATTACATACTGAAGTTAAGTGGCAAACTGAAGGGAAGGAAAAGAAAACATAACCTTAAAATGGATCACCACTTTTTTCTATAAAAATTTGTTTCTACCCTTGTTACTGTTATACAATTCCAGAATAAAACTGACAAGCCATTTAAAATATACTTTTCACAAACAGTCACAGATTGGCCACATTTTTAATTTGGTGCAGATAACTTACAGCTGCAAACTGAAGTCACTGAAGCTATGCTTTGAACAAGCAAAATACTGTATTTATGATAACAGGTATGCTGAACAATTTGGTCCTAGCTGTGAAAAGTTAGAACATACTTTCAGTCTCAACTTTTCTTGGGCTCGGTTTTGGAATACCAGGTTTAAAAAAAAGCCTGTTTCCCTCATGAAGTAGTTGGCAAGAATAGTGTTTGTGAAACATCAAAACACTACAGCAATGACCATCACAGAGAAAAGGAGATAACAAAAAGCAACTAGATTCCTGAGTACTAGCCATTTTGTGCACTGAGATCACCTGCTAACAGTATTCTACAAACACTAGACAGCTATATCAAATTAGCATACAAAGCTTCAGCTTTGGTACATCTTAACTTTCAAATGTTTTCAAACACAGCATTTTGATGTCAATTGCTTGAGGAAATTGATTTGAATTTTAAAGAGGCAATTTGAAACAAAATAAATCCCATGGCATGGAATTGCCCTGGAAGAGTGAAAGGTCCTCAACTGACTGGTTACCAGAATAATGAGAGTCAAGAGTAGAGTGTCACGTTGTTTATGTCGACTAGTGATAGAGGGGGAAGGAGGACACACATACACACCCCAACCCCTTTACTTGGGGTTTCATGGATATTTGCTGCTGGAGGAACAGGAAGGACTTATTACTACTAAATAATAACTAGGATGGAAAATGGCTTACAAATAACGTGCGCGCATACCTATAGTTAGTCATTACTACCTTGCTATTTACTACCTGTCAGCTCCTAACCAATTTTTATTAACTTAACCATGGCCTTAAACTCACTCCTACAGAGCTTTATAAAAATCACTGCCAGAACTTGTGACCATGTTAGCAGCCCCAACAGAAAAATTAAGGAACTAATGAACATGAACTGTTCTTGCACACCACGGCAGTGGTTTCAATTCTCTGGTAGGGAAACAGAGAAGCCTGCACTGCAGCCACACTCTATCAGTGCATTAGGAGAGAACAATTGCTTGAAATGTAAATAAACCCCCCACATTTTAGACCAAATTTCAGAGTGTATTTACACTACTTGCAGCTACTGGCTTTTTTTTCATGTTGGCAGCAGACTTGGAACAGCTAACTGAAACTTAGTTCCATTTCTGGGATGAATTAGGCTACATCAGGATACGCTACCATGCCAGTGACTGTTGTTTGCCAGGTCTTGTACAGCCTGCAGTCGGACCTCTTTGTCTTCTGACTGACTTCTCTTTAAAAGAAGCCATAAGGCACATTCATGATCTTCTCCATCAAATGTGCTGAATTGTTCTTTTACCAGGAAAGAAATAAAGACCAAGGTATTATTAATGAGCATTTTAACAGTCACATTTCTATTCATTGAGTAAAAAAATCTGCTTCTTTAAATATCTGAGTATTAGTCATTAACAGTAGTATAATGTTTTAATATTAAATTAGTACAACAAACAATGACAGAATGACATCAGTAAAATGCTGATCTTTAAATCAATAGGAAGGTTTTGATTCATTTTAGTGGCACCGAGTTGATATTTCACATATGTTACACACACAACCCCTGGCTGTCCCTTACCAACCAGAATTGCCAGATTCCAGCAGGACCTGGAAATGATTAGCAACTCTTGAGGCTCTGACCTTGAACAATTAATTTCATAGCACAACAGTGGAGGTACATATTGTTATAATCATTTAACAGATAGTTAAATGAGAATAGATAGTACCTCTCAGACAGTTTCTCATATGAAATGAAATTCTTATTTTAAATAAACAGCAGTGACACACTGTTACAAAAAGACTGTGCTGCTTTCAGTTAATATTGGCAATTCTGATGAAAGCATAACATTCTTTTCTAAAATGAAATGTTGAGGGTATTTCATGCCCCGAACACCTTTCGTACACAAACCTGGCATCTTAAGCTTCAAACCTCTTCTGAAGCAGGATAAAAAAAAACAAACTCAAATCTCTTCTTAACCATCCCTTTAATTTACTTTTAGAAAATGAATTAATACATAAAAATATACTAATATCTTATATCAATATAGAAAATGATAAGTAATATTACCACTGTTTAAAACACAAAAGAACATGTTAAGTTTGTATGAAAAAATATTTTAATTTCTAAAAGGCTTATGTTTTACTATTCAAAAATATTAATGATAGATGAAGCCATGCTTTCAATACTTACCATTAAAAGGTCTCCGGAAAATTTTAGCTTCTGTTTCTAGAATTTTCCTCACTGCTTTATGGATTTCTTTTCTGGCTTGGTATGTGATCCCTACAAGAGTATTTGTAGATTACTGGAAGTCTGAAAGACAGTTCTTTCACATTATTTTTCACATATATATATATATTACAGACACAGACATACATATGGACATGCATATATATACAGACACACACATACATATGGACATATATAGAGAGAATTATCTCATATGAAGAGAACTGTATGTACAGAATTATCTTTAAAAAAACCAGCCACCAGCTTAAAATAAATTTGATGTCATTGTAAAGAATATTATTTTTGTAACAGACTTCAGGAAATACAACTTTCCTTATATAAGAGTGACTTCCAGAAACATTCTATTCTCTTAATATTCTATTTTTAGAATCCAAACAATTATGTGTCTTACCTTGATATTCACTTGGATTTAGAGAAGCTGTACGTACATATACATGGGATTTAAGTTTTTCTTGATGTATAGCTTGAGTATCGATTTGCAGTAACTTCTTTAACGACAGGACTTCATACGTAATGAATACAAAACCTCTTCAAATAAAAGAAAACTGCACATGAATATTAATTTAAAAATATGATGGCAAAAATACATTAACAATCATTTTGGTACAAATCATTCAGATTTTATCAAGTATATAATAGTCTGCAGATTATTTTAATTTAGCAAAGTAGAAAAAGAATCTAAAATACTCAAAAGTAGTAATAACTATAAGAAAATACGCTTCAAAACTATATTCTACCACGTCTAAAGGTCCCCTAGTATTGGCAAGTTTTTTGAAAGATACATGAATTAAAATTTTTACTGTATACATAAGTTACATATATGCTTGTCAGTTCCAACTTACCCTAGTATAAGTGATCCAGTTACCTTTGCGATTTTTCCTTGAAAAAATAAAAAATTAATGTCAAAGTTGTGTGCATCACCTCAATATAAACATAGTTAGCATTTGATTACCAGACATTAAGTATGTCAGTCATTAAGAGTAAGCTTTTTAAAATTTTTCTACGGCTCTCTGGCTTTCAGGAAATCCCTACCTAAATTTACAAATGGAGAAAACATTACTTGATTAGAATTTCCTGCTCTCCTAAGCAAGATGATGAAACATGTATCCTGCCAGTGCTATTTACTTTGAGTATTGCTACCTATCTATTTCATTCATTGCTCAGCTGCAGGAATCAACAATAAACTTTCTCTGCCTGTACCACTAGCATTCATTTGGAACTCTAGATTATTTTAAGAAGTTAACTTTTTCTTACATGGTGTGGATATTTCTTCAATGTACATGAATACATACAGGAGTATGTATGTTCTTTGAAAAGTCCTGCAGAGTCTCCCTGAGAAAATACATTTTTTTAAAAAAATTCCATTATGAGTTCCATAATACAAATCTAATTAATAAAGCAAGCAGCTGAATAAACATGTCACTTGCAACAATTTCCCTTTTAAGTCTAACAACTCCTGTAAGATTTGAGTACTTTTGCCTGGACAAAGTTGAGCTAATTATCTGGATGTAAGGATCTCAATACAGAGAAACTCTATTATTATCATCAGTAGCAACAAACCCAATGGAACACATCTCACCTATCGTGAATAATTTCTTTTCCTCAGCATGAATTGGGAGATTTGCCCCACAACCACTGCCACCAGGTTCTGTCTTTGTGAGACCATAAGAATTTTGCATGCAGACAAGAGGCAGCTACGTGTTGAAGAAATAACTGGCAGAGAAGATTGTAAAGGGAAAAAAATGCAATGCTTCCTGTAGAGCAGAAACGGAAATAACCTATCTTTTAATGCTCAAAAATAAACTTCAGAATTGTAAGAATTGTCATTCTATACAGAAGACACCAAAGAAAGCAGAGACTAAGCAAGAAAGATTGCAGAACTAATATCAGTAAATAAGGAGGAAGAAACAATAGAAACAAACTTTATTCAAACTTTATTCACAGCTTATGGATGTAATTGTTTCATGGCTCTAGAGGTTACAAAAAATCAGATACAAAATGGAGTTTAAAGTAGTTTAATGAGATTGCATTGGGGGGGGAGGGGCTCATCTCATATTCTAATCCCAGATAATCTGCCGGTGTCATTTTACATATCACTATGCAAAGCAAGGTCAAAAGCAGACATCCACTTTAGGCAAGTAAAAGCTTTTGATCACAAAGTATTCAGGGATTTAGATCTTTTGTATCATTTAATTATGCATGGTCTCATACCAACACAGATTTTTCCTTTTTATTATCACCTCAGATCAATACATATGGAACTTTACTCACTGATATCATTCCAGGGTAGGTGTGTTTTTGTGGCTGGACCAGAGGTTCCTATTTGTCTATAGCAAAATATACAGTAAGCGGACACTGACATTCTGTGTAAAGAAAAAAAGAGGAAAAAAAAGAAAAAGTAATGACTGATTTGAGAATTAGAACACAAAAACCTGTTGCAGTTTTTTTGCTGTCTTTTTACAGCAAAGGTCACGATAGCAAAGGACATGATTTACAGCAAAGGTCACAATAAACCATATTTGTGTCATTTCACTCCATATGCTTGAATTAAAGAAGTCTATAAGCTCCTCGAATTAATAGGCTGCACTTCACTACATAGTTTTGCCTTTAAAGCGTAAATCCGACTAATACCTCAAGAATGTAAAAACTCTCCAGTTAATGAAAATAAGTGCTGGTTCTAAAACGCTCTGACTCCATGAAACTCATAGGGCATGCTTACAGGTAAAACATAGAAGACGCATCTCATTCTAGAAAAATTCCTACACATGCAAAAGAATGAAAACCTAGCTGTAGCCATGAAGGAGAACCTTTTCTAAAATTAATGCCTTAGCAATTCAGCATTATGATGACACAGAATACAGACAAATTGCACTGCATTCACTGAATGCTGAAATTGAACTAGAATTTTTTTTCCAATCACAAACACACATATGATATTTTAGAACTACCGAAGTTCTAAATGTACAAGCAAGAATCTTCTTGACAGTAAAGATCTCCATGAAAATAGTATCTGAGTTCTTTAGAAATATGAAACGATTTATTCTTCTGACCTATATATGAGGCAAGACACCGAATTTTCCCCGTTTTACAAGTAGAAAGATGAGTTAAGCATGCTGCAACTTCCTTACACATTCTAGATATCACATTGCCTCTTTGAAGAAGTGGGATTATTCAGGAGGGACTGTAAAGGAGCCATGGCCTGTAGACCACTGATCAAGGATGTATCCTCACCTCTGCACAATGAGGTTCAAAGAAAGTATAGTTATATTAGTCAAGCACTGAAAACCAAGCCAATTTAGGCCAGGCAAAAGCACCAATTCCTGTTTCTGCCACTCACATATATTTACCATTTTATGTATTAGTAAAAAGCTACTGCCTTGACATTTGAATTATATAAGAAAAACTTATATAAGTTAGGTAATAAACAAACTGGGTTTGGCAACCCACAACAATCAAGTTCTGCATGTTACTTCTGTTGAAGACTAAATCTCAAGTCTTAGTAGACAGAACATGTAGTATTTTTAGTACAAGAATTATGCCAAAGTCCAGAAAGAATATTAAACATTTATAACAATCACAAAATACACAAAAAGATGTTTTTTCATAACTGCAGAAGTAATATGACATTCATATTTTATGATAAGTGAAATTTTAGTGTCTGCATTGATACATTTACGCTGACTGAAATACTGAATTAATCTGTTTAAATGGATTTAAAACCACCCCCACCCCCCCTCACATATTTATCAAATTACTGTGTTGGAAACATAGACATCCTTATTAAATGTCAAATTAAGTCTATATCACCATGACAATTACCCCAAAATGGTAAAATATCATGTGTGTAAATCTTGATCAGTAAATCTGATCTTGAAATATAGGAGCCCTTTATATTCTCCTTGAATATAAGGTAATCTCTACAGACCAAAAAAAGAGCTTATCTCGCTTTTAATGTCAGTGTCCAATTTCTCTGAACAAGGGGCCTTTTTTGTTTCCGTCCACACATATGCCTTCGCTCTTTTCCTGTTTCCCCCAAAGTTTTGTTTTTTTCCCTTCTCACCTTGCTTGTGGTTTAGCATTACCCCAGCACTGCCACAATCTCAGCAAGACAACCTTTTGGCTTCTGTCATTTCAGCATTGTGTTTATCCATTCACTTCAACAGAGCACACAACACTACGAAACGCTTTTATGACATTAATAATCAGTCCTCTGGAGACACCCCCCCTGCCTCCAAACTTCCTGTCTAATCTTTACTATCTTTATTCACAGAATCACAGTACTCAGATTTACTCTTCTACCTAACCACAGTCTGTGACTGCAACAAACGTGTAGTTCGGTGACACCAGGTACCACAATTCCCTGACTTCGAAACACACACCTGCAAGCACCAGAGGGCCAAAGCGAGTACCATTTCTTTGTTGCCAGGAACCTCTGTTCAGGTCTGAGACCAAATATGCTTAGAGATATACCAATATAATGCAAATGGCCCATTTTGCAGCCGGTTTCACAGCCGGTTCAGGAAGCTCTGCAGTCTGCATTGAACTCCTGTACCGGCCCGTGCCGATGAGCTGCTGTGGTGCCAACAGTTCTGTTGGGCCTTACCCCAGCGCGGGGCAGGGACCCACTGCTGCAAAGTAGGCAACTGGGCGATTAGGGTACATTTAATAATAATAATGATGATGATGATGATGATATAATTTTAGGCAATGCAACACCTAAACGGCCAAGGAGGAAAGCGGGGATAACTCTCTGCCTCTTTGCGAAGGGGAAAACCCCGTTTTGTTACCTTTTACGCGCTCGCACGGAGCGGGTGAAGCCCAAGGCACCACTGTTATTTCTGGAGCTTTTTAACAAGCGCGGGCTGAGCGGGGCCTCCCCGCGCCCGGGCGGGGCAGCGTCGATCGGCAGGCCGGGGGCCGGGGCCGGCACC